AATGGGCGCAATCGATAACTGAATCAGTCCGCATGCAGCATGAAACGTGTTGAGATAAACAACCAAATACTGATGTCGTGACCATTGTTTCACGAAGCGCGTAGGAAACTACTACGAGAACGGAAGAGAAAGATCGCAAACAGGAAGCGGTGAGACAGTTCTCACGCACTGTGAAACGTTAAATGACGGGATGGGCCTACTAGTTATAACTGGTGCACAGAGTATCACAATACGCTCTTTATGGGACGACATACTGACTCACCGCGTACTCAATCTTCTTTCTTTCTTTCTTTCTTTCTTTCTTTCTTTCTTTCTTTCTTTCTTTCTTTCTTTCTTTCTTTCTTTCTTTCTTTCTTTCTTTCTTTCTTTCTTTCTACGAGGGAAAGAGGGGATGTGCACTCACACCCAATACGAGTTTCAACCTGCCGTCCGTACTCAAAATGATACCAACACCGAAAAGGGGCCACCCATATAGAAAAATAAATTGATGAATTAAGCTCTCTCAATTAGTGGTACCCTCTGAACCAATTTAACCTTTGTCGGCGCAATTGTTCAGGCTTGGGGTGAGTTTAACCACAGCCAGCGGGCTGCAACTTGTATTGAGCGTGACTGTACGCTCTGATTTTGACTGTGCTGCTGTGCTCTACAGCACCATGCACTTCTCCTCCACTAGTAAGTCCACTGCGGTACTTCTGCGGCGGGGTTGCGCTGTTAAACTAGATGACACGGGTTCGACTTCCAGTCGCGGCGACCGCATTTTGATTGGGCCGAAACGCAAGAACGTCTGTACTTAAATATAGGCGCACGTTGGAGAACCCCTGTAGGCCAGAGATAATTCTGAGTCCTCCCACACCGGCCTGCCTCATTATCATATCATATATTTCGCACATAGAGCCCGATAATGTAATTATTTACTGCGTAGCCTAATGACTCAGATAGGTAAGTTTACCGGCTTGTCGAAAGCAGGAAGGAGAATTGCACAAATGAGTAATTCGGTGCACCAGAGAACGAGGTTTTGGTAGTTTCATTTCTGCATAGTAAGAACAGGCATAGTTGATGAGTATGATGCAAGCTACTGTGTCCCGTTCCTGGAACTCGTAAGACTGCATTAAGTAATTAAAACGGGATGTAGAGTTTGAAAAGGGTATAGAGGCATTTGCAATATTTCTTACTATGAGAAACAATCTTGACATTAACTTAATTTGGAGATGAAACAAGGAATTCGCCTAACATACAACATATGTTGCTTTCTTGAAACAGCGCCTCCAACAATATCACCAATATTTGTTTTTTTGTGAAAGAAGTAATTGAACACCGCCCGTTTGTTGTGCAAAGTCGTAAGGGAATTCATATGAATTTTTCTGAAACAAAAGCCTGCTATAAAAAAAAGTGATAGTCAGTTATTCTTTTCAAAACCATGTAACCATCTTTCTGAATTTTGCAGAAATAATTTGCAAGTATACTTTTCTGTGCACGAAAAAAACATTTATCTACATTCCAGCAATAAAGCAACTTTGTGCATTCTCCAGAAAAAAAAAGAGGCAATAAACAAACAAGAGCGATAGAAACAACTAGTACATGAAAAACGAGGAGGAGTGAGGAAAAATACCTTGAACATGTAAGAATAACTTCGCTTTCTGAATGAATAAGAACTGTGAACCTCGCCGTCTCATCATTCAATATAGCTCCCCATGCCCAAACACTTTTACTTTCTCGCTGCATCTGTTTGGTTGCCCTAATATATATTGACATTCGTGTAGCGTCACCTTGATGAAAACGTAAGGTCCAGCAGTAAGCTATTGTTCGTTCTTGTAGATACGAAGTATAAGGAAGCGGAGAACATTAGACGCAAAATGAAAGCAAGATTTTAGAAATCAAGAACTTAAGTCATTGTATTCACTTTTTTGTGTAATACAGGCGAAAGAACGGTCTGGTACTAAATTGAGTATTATCTTGATTCTGTGAGCTCAACGTAAGTACATTGTATTCGTTCACTTTCTTATGGACATGTCAACTGTACATTTATCACGTGCAGGCTTTTCAGGTGGAAAGAAAGAGATTCGTTACAAATTATTGCACGATGTTTTTTTTTTTGCCTAGTATTCTCATCATCATGTACACTATAAAAAAGTTTACTACAGGCTTCGAAGCGCGAATTTTGCTTTTTAGTTTGTGTTTTGGTGTTGGTGTTTTCATGCTTGAGAATAATTTTTTTTAAATGTATGTACGAATTATCGTACGTAGGTGGTGTCGCGTTAGTAGCTTAATGTGGCTGAGTATGATTTCCTAATATAATGCCCGGCTATGGCATTACGCTGAGCAAAGCTACGAGAGATGACTCGAAGTGTTATTAATGCGCTGTCAGCCGAACTTGATTGAACATAATAAGAAACAAAAAAGATACTGCACAAACGTAGCTGAGACAATGACACTTACTCTCGCCTACTGTCTTTGTTTCTTTTATTTATTTATACTAATCAGAGTAGTCGAGTTTCACATTGAGTGACATTCTATTCCAGCACCACCATCCGTCTTTTAGGAGGGACCACCGTTTGTTTAATTTTAAATACTATCAATGGTTAATAGAGAACACTGCGTTTAAAATGTTTCAATTAGCAAGCGCTGAAAACAGACGTACTCCAGAAAAGCTTCTTTTTGATCAAGTATTCAATATATTTTGCCGATAACACAACGCTGCTCTTCGTGCTGGAGCGGCTGAAATACTTGAGAAATAGAACTTTAAACCTTATTGGCTATAATTCTTGAGTTAGTTCATGCATACCTGACATATGTTTTACTTGTTAATATTTGGTTTCGGGCCATAAATCATTGATTGAAGCAATCGCGTCATGTCTTATATGAAACCATAGTTCTTTAGCAAATAAAATTTTCTTTCTTAAGGTACAAAAGTACTACCTAAACTTGTATTACATGACTGGATAGATACCTTAAGCTAGGTGATAAGATGACGGCAGAAGCGTATAGGTAGATTATTTTTCAGGGTGGCGGGGGACTGATGTGGCACTCGCTGACTGCGCTACTGGCTTGATACGCATAAATAGGTACGTGCAATGAAGCGGAAATAAACATTTGTTGCAAAGTTTCTGTTTGCATTCGGCGAAATTCACTAGCGTACGCCAGAAGGCATAGCGTGATAATTAAAAATTAGGCAAGTGCGATTTAGAACGTGACTGGTTCAGTACATTTAGACGCAGTAGCAACACATGAACGGTAAGGATATACCTACCTGTACACCATAGTGTTCTAATATAGGCATACGAAGCTACACATTCGAAATTGTTCGATAACAGCAGCGAGAAAGTGTGAACTACGACGCGAACTCGCGTGCCGCGTATTACCAGATTTGTAGACCACTGAGGGTGGTCGAGGAGGATTTATTCCTAGACCAATTGCTTCTTACGAGCTAAAGGGTGGCTTGATCACCACACACACTGGGCCACTTGGTATGTACAAGCATAGAAACGACGCGGTGGCTTGACCCCACATGCTCGCGAACGCGTCGCAAGATCGTGCCGAAAGTCAAAAGAGGCACTACGCTGCTTTGGCGAGTACGTCATACCGCCACGGTACGGAATGCACGTGCTGCTTACGGACAATAATAAATACTGGCTGGAACGAAGTTCACGCCACTTTGCTACCACCCCGGAGCACGTGCAAACAAAAGGAGAAACGAGGGCGAACGGGTAGCGAAAAGCATCGCTCGAAATTGCCGCCTTGGTCGAGCCGCTTCAAGTCTTATGACGAACTGCGTGACTCGCTTGCAAGATACCATCTCGAGCACTTCCACCAGTGCCGTCGGAACTGGCTGCTCAGTGTTTCTTGCTCGCGAGGGTGATGCATCTTATGGCAGCGAAGTCATGCACGTTTCGAGACAGTGCGTCGGTTCTCACAAGCGATAATCAATCACGACATATCGCGGCGATGGAGAGCGGAAGAGGGAAATCGGCTACACTATTTGATAGTGAACTCCCGGTAGTTTTGGTTTTGCTGCAGTTTACATATTATTTTTCTTTACTTACATCTCTACCTGTTACCGAGTCCAGGTTTTAAATTGCATTTTTACGCCGGAAGGTAGCTCCGCAATTTATGCAACTAACATTAAAACTACTTTTTATTCAGAGCGTAAGTTTTGAATGTATAGGCGCACTCAATGTGACTTGCAATACGGTAGCGCGAGGCCTCTCGAGTTCCAAGGTTGTGCATGGCTTCAACTTGTTTTTATTTTAGCAACTAAATATTATTTTCTTATTTGGTATCATAACCAAGTGAGAGAAAATTGTTTAATATAGGAAATAAGGGCTAAGAGAAGCCACGCGCAATCTTTGAACTTGTGAGGCCACGAGCTCCCGTGTTGCAACTCACGTGACACATATTATTACTCACATATTATTGATAAACTAGGCGATGAAAGGCCTAGATTAAGAGGTTAATATGCTGCATTATAGTGCACCAGAGTGCGAACAAGGCAATTTTTTCCTTTATATATTGGCCCTAATTCACCTGCTGTATCCCCGCAAGAGGCATGCTAAGCAAAGTAGGACTACCTTTCGAAACTATGGTTACCTCACAAACTATAGGCTCTGTTCACCTGACAAGTGTAACGCGAAACACCTTCCACCACCACCACAAACTCGCCCTCTAATACATCTTCCGTTTACCTGCTTGACGTATGGTACAGCACGACAGTATCGCCCAGCACCGCTTTCACGTCCAAAAAATGATAACCACGTATTCCAGGCGCACAGAAGCCGTGCGGGGGAAGTCTTCAGAGCACCGGTCTTACAGCGACGTCGACCATCGAAAACCGGCACGGTAAACGGAAGAAGCAGGGACACCGGGGCTTCCAAAGAACGCGTGTGCGCGACTTGCCGTAGCAGGGGTGGTAGAGTAGGGTCGAGCCAAGGGCAACTACAGAGCCACCGGGACATCACCACCACCGGTGGCGGGAGAAGCGTGATGCCGATAACGTGTGTGCCTACCTCGGACGATATCCGCCTTCATGACGACGCGGTAGCCCTTGACGACGGCCCACTGTCCGGCGCAGGAGCCGGCAAGGAGCAGCGAGACCACGGACAGGACGAGTCGTTCGCACCACATGGTCATTCCTCGTTGACGTCTGCCGGCCAGACTGACTGGGCGACCGAGGCATCCGCGCCGTTTAACCGCTTTCCCTTTCGACCGGCTAGGCGGCAAGAGGGCCGCTCCACTTCTTCGGCCGCTTTCTCCCTCGACTTTCTCCTCGCCGGCAGGAAGACGAAGGAAGACGCGCCGCCGAGGCTGTTCTCACCTGGACCCGACGCCCCTCTCGCTTACACCGCCGCCGACGTCACTTACTACCCACATCGCGGGTTGCTCCCGACTTCACGGCAGCCACTGCTGGCTGAACGCTCGCGGCTGCCTGCTGCGCTTTAATGGGACGTTCAAACAACACTTCTTCGGTGATAAAGTCGACGCTGCGAGGGACCGTGACAAATTGGAAGGGGCCCAGTAGGTGGTCAACCCTATATCTTTCCACAGCAGGACCTGTCCCACCATAGTTGAATGCACATGTTTAAGACCACGCAAATTCTGACCGCCTATTCATGTTGAATTAAAAAAAAGAACAGTTTATATCGAACCTTTACACTCCTCTAGGAAAGCTAGCGGTGACCAAATGCAGGGCATTAGTGAGCGGCACGGCAGTGATTCATTATCGCTTTTCCATCGATTCACATGCTTGTGTTCGTTTGGACAGGAGAGGTGGGGTCGCCCCGCCATGGTGGTCTATTGTAAGGTACTCGGCTGCAGACCCGCAGGTCGCGGGATCAAATCCCTGCTGCGGCGGCTGCATTTCCGATGGAGGCGGTAATGTTGTAGGCCCATGTGCTCAGATTTGGGTGCACGTTAAAGAACCCCAAGTGGTCGAAATTTCCGGATCTCTCCGCTGCGGCGTCTCTCATAATCAAATCGTGGTTTTGGGACGTTAAACCCCACAAATCAATCAATCAAGAGAGGTGGGTCACCACGGGAAAACCATACCCCACTCCTCTCCCCTTAAAATTGAAAGCCCTGTGCATGCTCATTAGGGTTACACCTGTCTTACATGATAAGCTATTCGGAGGCTGAAATATTCACTGACATTTGCCTTGATATCGCCGTGGGAGGCAGTGGCATTGACCTCTGTCTGTCTTGACCAGGCGTTGGCCCAGGTCAAGACAGACTTAACATTGTAGCTTTGTTCCTGAGATTAATTGTAGTAGGGTTCACATGAGAGTGGCTGCTGGTTGAGAAACCGTTACATACCGGAAAAGCAAATGTTAGACGGCCAACCAACCATTGAAGACAATCCCGATGTGTGTCTTCCACACGAACTTTGTTCTCCAGCTAGCGGCTCGCTTGTCGAACCACGATGAAGTTTCTCGACGTAAGAGACATACAAGGCGACATAATTAACCAACTAGCCAACGAGGTCACCCTGTTAGACACATTGTAAAAAAGTCCTACATCTTTATACTGCAAGTCCACTTGTAATTCCCCCAAATATTTGACAGATCTGTTACTGTAGTTTTCTGCATTCCGCCTTTTCTTTCCCAGTATGTTTGACGGCTATTCTTTACGTACAACAGCTCCGAGTGGGACATCTTAAGTTGCCAGAACGGCAGACTGCACTTCATGAACTCAAGGAATTCGCATTCAAACTGGACTCTAATATCAGTGTATGCTGTTTCGTGGACCATAACGGTTACTTTTACGAAATCGATCGCTTTCTTTATTGATTGAACAAACCCGCAAGCACGAATAGAGCACTAAACATATTCTTCGCATTTATCTTCGCTGCAAAGTACAAAGATTATTGGTCGTGCCCCGCCGCGGTAATATGGTGGCCAAGGTACTCGGCTGCTGACCCGCATGTCACGGGATCAAATCCCGGCTGCGGCGGCTAGATTTCTGATGGAGGCGGAAGTGTTGTAGGCCCGTGTACTCAAATTTGGGGGCATGTCAAAGAACCCCAGGTGGTTGAAATTTCCGGAGCCCTTCACTACGGGGTCTCTCATGATCATATGGTGGTTTTGGAACGTTATACCCCACATATCGATCAATCAATCAATCAACCAACCAACCAATCAATCAATCAATCAATCAATCAATCAATCAATCAATCAATCAATCAATCAATCAATCAATCAATCAATCAATCAATCAAGATTATTGGTCGCTTTTGCGCCTTATAGCTCATTTTGATCGAATACTATAATCACATATCACGTCACGATACATAGAAGTGTGGCAGTTTGGTCAAGTTGGTATGACATCACGATAGTTATAGCGCGAGAACAGAACGACGACAAAGAGTCTTCCTTGTCTCTTTGTCATCAGTCTGTTCTCGCGCTATAACTATCGTGATGTCACGATACAGCTCACTTCGGTGCAACCAGTGACCTAGCGCGCGCCATGAAGCGGGTGCCTGTTTTCCTTAGCCTGCACGTGTCTTTAGACCACTGGTCCTTTGGCTGTAAATGAACTTAGGAATCAGACCAAAACTTTTGCAATTCCAACCGGATGAGGCATTGCAGCTAAGGACCGCAAATTCTCTGCCGCGGAGCTGAGCGAGCGGCTGGGGGTTGGGTTTGCTACTTCAAGTGGTACTGTGCTGCTTGTAGTGGCACTGTTCTAGCGGTACTGTGCTACTGCAAGTGGTACTGTACTGCGAATTGTGCTGTGAAAGCTACAGCCTTATATTGTGCCTTGGCACCTTTGCTAATCTGAATTTGATTTATTTCTGCGCTTATGATATTCAAGTGAGCTTAGCATTAGGAGGGGTTTAAGGATTCACATTCTTAACGGTTCCAGATCATACCACAAAAACATGCTATTCACGCACGAACATAAGCGCCGGCTCTCAGCTGCATAGCGACTGCAGGTGGTATGATACACGCCTTGGTCACGCAAATAAACGTCACTTGACAATCTGTACTTGTGTTCGTGTATCATAGAATGCTCCGATGTATTTGGTGGTGCCCTCAAATGAATGGAGTACCTCAAGATCTATGTCCAACTGCAGAGGCTTAACGGAAATTTTCCATCAGTTATCCTCCTTGACTTTTTTCTTGCTCTCTTTGTATCATCCTGATCACGAACACTGAATCAGCATGTTCTCATCATGCCCGAGAATAACCGGCTGTCCATAGCTGTCAATTATGAGGCCCAAATGCATCTCATTTCCGCATCCTCGTACCGATAGTGAGCCACAGTAGTTTTCTAAGTAAGCACTAGAGGGAACTCTGGCGCTAGTGTCATGGGTGATGTCATGGGTGCACGGCACTTTAGCGAGCATATATAGGAATGATGGGTAGTATACGGATTTTTCTAATCTTCGTATTTTCTGGCTCCGTGTGTGTTCGTGTGGCTTGAAGCTGCTTTCTCACGAAACAAAAATCGGCAAATGTTCAGCGGTTGCGCTTCACCACCTTATTATTTTAGGCTTACCTTTTCAAATCGGGTCACAAAGCTCAAAAAGGTTCGTTCTTCCCTTCGAAAAAAAAAAAATCGAAACACAACAATAAACGAAGCCACAAGTGCCGTTAGCCACCCGCAAGTACGAAGACTAGGAAAATCCGTCTACACCCATGGTCATCATCCATGGTCGCTGAACGATCGCAGCGTCAGAGTTCTCTCTAGTTAATTTTAGGAAATTCTATGTATTGAGACAAATATGTACAGATGTATTCTATCGGGCTTGTTTGGTCATGTAGCTATTTTATGCGCACTGATTTTAAGCTACAGTGACCGCTCCGCAGTCTTGCAGAGAGCACACACGCGATGACCACCCGTAGTGCATGCCGACGGCGACGGCTGTTTGAAGATCTCGCGTTTACCCTTTCAGTCACGACACATCCGTACGAAAGCTTTCTTTAATGCTTTATGTTTGGAAGGCTTCTATTTATAGTCTCCGCCTTTCAGTAACGAGCAAGGAGTGAAAGCGTTTCGGGTCGTAAGGATGTGTTTGACGTTGCCATAATTTTGCGGCATTAGTGCTGCACAATCTTACGCACCAACTCTCGAAGTGTGAACCGAAGGCTTATGCTGTTACTAGCCGTTGAGAAGGTCAGCATCAAGTCGCGCGACAAAATCCTTACAGCACCTTTATTAGGATACAGCTTCAGACGTCTGAGGTATTTCCGCATCAAAATACAGGTGTACACAAAGCTGCCACAATGGACGTCATGAATCAGACGGAATGAAACCACGCCATCAGAGAACATTGCCGAGTGCATGAGTGGGACTATTTCTTTGGCGTGTAGGCAACCTACGGCCGCACTTAGGTCATTTAGGCCAGGCCTCTTCAAACTTCCTAAGTTGATTCCAACTATATACATATATACATTGGAGCCAGGCGTGTAGGCAGAATTTTTTTTCATGGCGGGGGTGGGGGGGGGGGGGGACTTTTTCTTGATTTTGGGAGCGGTACGCCCTTGAGATGATCTTTTTTCGCTTTCTCTGGCATGGCGAAATAACTTCGGAGGGTACGGGGCAAGGTCCAAGTGTGCTACCTCCTGGCTACGCTCCTGATTAGAGCGTAATATGTTGCATCTAGGAGCCAATTATTTTCGAATAAATCGCTTAAAGACGCTACAGGAAGCAGAACCGTTGTTCGTGGTTCCTATCGGCATGATGGTGGTGACTGATATCAGTACAGCCGTCACCATTAACGCGAACCGTCCGACACGTGGCTTCTCCTCGTTTCGACTGACATTAGCGCTGCGAAGTGTTGGACGCGATATGTTTGTTGCAACTAACGATATGTGGAACGTGCATCAATTTCGTTATTATATTTCTGTTTCACTTCTGCCTGACTGTAGGGTCGAATGTTCTCACTTGGCGAGTCCTTTTTCTCAACGTCCGTTCGTTCTTGCTTCCGTCCGTCCATCCGCCCGCCCGCCCGCCCGCCTGCCCATCTGTCTGTCTGTCTGTCTGTCTGTCTGTCTGTCTGTCTGTCTGTCTGTCTGTCTGTCTGTCTGCCTGTCTGTCTGTCTGTCTGTCTGTCTGTCTGTCTGTCTGTCTGTCTGTCTGTCTGTCTGTCTGTCTGTCTGTCTGTCTGTCTGTCTGTCTGTCTGTCTGTCTGTCTGTCACTCACACTAGCGCCACCTGCTGAGTAAATCATACAACTAGGTGGTTATGAACCGGTCA